GTACTTAACCGATTTTTAGGGTCTTCACCACCATGTGGCAGCACTGAGGTCATGTGAACGGTAAACCTTGGAAAAGGTCTCGACTCACATACTTCATTATGTGGGGAAAGAGGAGTCTTTGAAATGTGTCTTATCATTGGAGTTTCAATCTCTGGGAAACAATTGGTGCTGAATTTTCTAGAAGTTCTATTATTTTGTTGCTGATTGCTTGTTATAATTGGGACATTACAAGAAGTTCTGATGATCCGTTTTATCAGTAGTGCATGAGAGTGAAAATTGGCCCAACTTGTGTGATTAGAAGACATTTTGGATCTTTATCTGTTCTACAATATTACACAGGTGAAAAAAGTTGCATAAAATGTAAATGTGTTGATAATTATGTTCAGGTATGTAATTTTGTTTCCAAGACAAAGAAGTGCAATTAAAAGAAGAAAAAAAAACATTACAGATGAGATTGTAAAAAAAAAAATAATCAAGAATCTCGTGTGTTCCCTCCTCCAGTGAACTGGTTTGCAGATTACCCCCAAAGCTCACAAGAATTTGACAGGGATGTGAGTCTTAAGGGTTATTTTTTCCCCAATTTCAGGTGTATTTTTTTTCTAACCCAGTCCCTGATATAATGTTTATATCAGATGAAAAAAGCTGCATGTTGGAAAACAGTTCCTATGTTGTACAGCGACTTGAATTTGGTAGTAATGAATGTTTTTTGCCCGAGTTGTGTAGCATTCTGTAACTTATTATCATTATTGTCATGGATTTTGATTCAGCATGGAATCATACAAATTTCAAAATGAAAATATCTTGCCAGAGTCGAATCAGGTGTTCTAGTACAGGTAACCCTGTACACAATTTAATAGGAAGGTCATTTGATTAAAAAAAAAGTCAATCAAGGGTTGATAATTTCATTAGTAGGGATCTGTTTATGATATATTTTTTAAAAATTTAGAAGCTGTGACAGTGTATGTACATTTTAAGCATGCAAAAAAAAGGTATTTATTGTCAAGATGTGAACTAGGGATAACAAAGAAAAAACTGTTGAAGAGCATATGACTTGTTCTCACTGCAAATGTGATTGGGTAGACTTTCTGTTAGCAGTAGTGTACATAAGTTGTACAAAGTATTGTGTAGTAAAGTTGTATTTTATGAGCAAAAATTTGACTTTGTTTTTTGATGAAATGCTTCTTCTGAAATTACCATTTTTATTAGCACTGGCCTCATCTGTGACCACGTCCTCCACTAATAATTAAGGAGGGATGCCAGGAGGAAGCGAGAACACGTGCAACTTGCNTGTTGAAGAGCATATGACTTGTTCTCACTGCAAATGTGATTGGGTAGACTTTCTGTTAGCAGTAGTGTACATAAGTTGTACAAAGTATTGTGTAGTAAAGTTGTATTTTATGAGCAAAAATTTGACTTTGTTTTTTGATGAAATGCTTCTTCTGAAATTACCATTTTTATTAGCACTGGCCTCATCTGTGACCACGTCCTCCACTAATAATTAAGGAGGGATGCCAGGAGGAAGCGAGAACACGTGCAACTTGCTTTGTTTCAAAAGTCTGAGATATCTTTTAAATTTTTTCAGTGGAATATTTCCTAAATTGCCATGTTTAAAAAGATGGTGTAATTTCTTCACGTATACTACTTTCTATATTTCCACTTTGAAGTGCTTGAATGCAACCCTTCCAGGCACAAAAATATAAACACAAACTGTGACATTTTTATGAAAGTGTGTTGCCTCCACAGTGACTTGTTTTACACCAAGACATGGTACTCCATTTTATGTTATCAGCTATCCCCTCGCCACACAAGTTCGGAAGTCCCTACTGGTCAGGTATGCCACTAATTATTCAACTTTTAACAAACCTTAGGCCCCTGAAATATTATATATAACATGGGTTTTTGGTTTATTTAATAACCATTAGTCAATATTGCTGCAAGTTTTGGGCTAACAGCAAAAGGAACATTTGTCACTTTCCACCAGGATTGAAAATGATCATTTATTAAAATGAAAAGATAAAAATAAAAAGTCCATAAATGCCTATTAAATTCAACAAAGATGATTACTATTAACACTTTCCACCAGGACTGAAAATGATCATCTTCTATTAAAATGAAAAAAAAAAAAAAATGAAAAAAGTAAGTCCCTAAATGCTGATTAAATCCAACAAAGATGATTACTATTAAAAATGGACATACCATATCCAAATAAAATGGGGAGTTTTTCACAAAGAATTACACAAGTCTGAGAATTTTTAATCGATCCTAATGGTCTCCATCAAGATAAAGTGTTGATGCCACAAAAAATGCCCCCCCCCCCCCTTCCCCCAAGTCTGGACCTGGGAAAGTTTGGTCATGACAACTATGTTCTGAAAACTTCTATTGGGGATAAACTCACACAACAAAATTTTCAATGGTCTATTTAATTTAATTTATTATCTTCACTCAAAATTATATGAAACCATGTCACCTTATTTTAACTATCACATACTATGAAACTTTGTTCAATGTGTTAACCTTTCTTGTTAACAAGTCTGCTTACAACTCCAGAAGAGGAGGTAAACTGTATATAAAATGAAATGGGAAACAAGCTGTAAGTTGGAATTATTTTTGTCAAGTTTGTGGTACCTTTCCAGCCCTGATGAATCAACACTTGAGGTGAAGTTGTCAGGAGATACAAATATCATAATTGTAACTTTTAACTATCTACATTGGATAACAGTATGCAATAAAACTAAATTTTACCAATCTATACTATACAGGACTTTAAAAAAGCAACCTTGCTAATGTATGGCAAAACATAACAGCAAGAGACTTGACACTGCCAATGGCAATCTTCTGAATGTTTGTTCAGGTTTACATTAGAATATTATATTAAGAATTACACTTCATCCCCTTAAAAAAATTGAATAACAATTATTATAAAAGAGGAAAAAACTCCACAACACACAACAAAGTAAAATATTACAGATAGTGTCATTATCTTCTAGAAACCTAAGAACTAAACTTGGTTTAGGAAGGACGAATTTCAACATCTGAATGTCAGCATCTTAAGATTTCAGTTTTCAAATATCACCCAGTGTCATTACCCTAAGAAAAGAAAAAAAAAAAAAATATACATCCAGAATTGAACTTCCCAGATTTGAACCAAGTTGTGTAACGGTATATACATAATATTTATTTCATGACGAGTGTTGAGAAAATAAGAACAAGACATGGCGTGGTTTGCAAAATGCACGCTATGCATTGATGCTAACTGCAGGGATCTTTTGTTCTCCCCATCTGTTGTGGTATTGGTTGGAGTAATACTTCTCATCCAGCCATGGTGTACCTACTATATGTATCACAATGCAGTATCCACCTGCTCGAAACCACTCCTTGTGTATAAAGGCATAGAAAATATATTACATCATTGTGGAGTGGTGGCATTTTCTTGGAATGTGAAATGAACTTGCCAACTCTGATGAAGTTTTTGACCAAGATGCTTGAATTAGCTTAAATTGTACAGGAATGGCTGGGGCACATTAATAAATAGCCAGAGATTATTTGAAGCAAAATTACTATTATATAACAATCATAAATCATAAAATGGTATTTGAAATTAGTTCCAAAATGTCAAACAATCTGTCCATTAAATGATGACAGGTAGTGCAAATGCACCAGTGAAGTGTCAAATACGGATTATCAAAATGTTTTTCTCATATTCAGATTTTCTTCATCCAAGGAAAACATTTATAGTTTTCATTCAAATACCTTACGATAGGACTGAAAATTATTTGTACCTTCTTGTCTAAGAAAAGAAGACAAATGTATCATAGTTTACAAAAAATTTTGGAGACCTTCAATTTCAGTATTGTGTGAAAAAAACACCATAAAAATTAAGTTGGAAATTAAGTTGGTTACTGTATAAATTTCACAAAAGAAGCTAATGATAGCCTGTAAAAATAGATGTCATTTAAAATAATCACCTGGCTGGCATTTGCAATCCGTTATCTTTTCATTAACCCCACATTACCACTGTTCATTAACCCCACATTACCTCTGTAGTTCTGTTTAAAATATTGCTTATAAACATATATGTGTATGTGTGTGGAGAACGATATCTCATTGAACAAAATAATCATGTTCATAAACCATAAAATTTAATAGTATTTTGACATGAGAATCATTCTTTGCAGTTTAACTTTAACAATGTGTTTCACTTGTTCAAATATTTCAATGCTGTGATCTAGGTTAAAAGGGAGAATTATTTTTTGATAAAATGGGTAAATATCTTTAAAAAAAAGATAAAAACACACTAAAACACAAAATATGTAAAGTAAATTCCTTCTAGACCTGCTTGTAATCTACAATTTAAAATAAAAATGGCTCATTTCCACTTATTGCTGTGACCTAAGAAACTCTATCCCCAAATGAGAAACTACTTCATTTGAATTAAAAAAATATCACAATTTTAGAAAGTAGGATTAAAAATTTTTGAACACTGCCTTTGTAGTGATGTCTTTTCTCCATCACTGATCAATTAACTTTATTTATAAGACCTTTTGGGAAGGGGGTGTGGGTGAGGAAGGGGGGCTATCAATATACTTCAGATTTCATAACTCTACGTTTTAATATTTTTGTCTTGTCTAAATTGCTTAAACAATATTGAATAAAACCACCTCCTAGTTTTGTTCATGTGAATAAAAACCACAATCACTTCAAATCCACAAATAAAACACTTAGCAGATGATTTTGTGGTTGAAAAAAAAAATTAGACAAATTACAGTGAGACAGGAATGTCTGAGGTTAGAGGAATAACTCTCTGATTGTTGAATGCCAGGGAGATATTCAATAATGATTGCACCTTGAAAGTGATATTAAAGGTAAAGGTCACCATTTACTGCATTCATCTTCATTCAAGGTCATCCAAGGTCAGGATGTTCGATCATAACTCCACTTCCCTACGTCGACACCAACCACTGAATTCTCTATATACAAGCCGAAAGAGGAGCTAAAGGAAGAAGAAAAAAGAACAAAGTCAGAATATTGTATGGTTTAATTATCCAATTTATTGCTCCGAGCAGGTATCAGAAATCGTTGCCAGAAATCACTTATAAATGTCTTGATTGATACATTTGCATAAAATTTAATGAAAAACCATAAACAAAACTTAAACAAAATTAACAAAATAATATCCCCCACTTATTGCATTGAATATATTGCAATACTCTTAACAGACATACGTGTATATTATTATTATTATTATTATTATTATTATTATTATTATTATATGTTTCCCCAATGATAAGTTTATGTGTGTGTTGTGTGTATGCATGTAATGTGTGTGCCCTGGACTAGGCTAGACATACCCCTAGTTTATATTAATATACAACACATATTTCAAAATCCCTATTCAATGAACAATCTAGCACCTACATGTAAAACCTAACTAAATACCACTGCAAGACCCAACAAATACACAACTTTCCCTGTGAGGGCATAATGTATGATGAACAAAACATGCTTTTACATACTCAAGCACCAATATGGCACAGTTAAACATCGGGGCATAATCAAAGGTACTGCATACCAGGACATGTGTCATTTATTAATATGGCCGCAAAATCAAAGATGGCTGTCACTGAACTCTATCAGTTAGTGGTTTTGGCAGTGATAAAAAAATAGGGGAAGGGGACCAACCAATTTCACCACATAAATACATGTTGCTTAGAAAAAGAGATAAAGCGATTTTGAAAATTACCTTCAAATCTTAAGTTGCAACAAATGTATATGAAGAGATCTTATTATTTGTACAAAAAAGTATCAAAACTTTTTAAGTTACAGAATCAGCAATAACTTCAACAATCCAAAAACCTGTTAATAAATAAATATACCATCACAAAGTTGCTCTTTTGGAATGCTGTTGAAGATAAAGAGTCAAACTTTAATACAGATATGATACTTTATCCATCTGAATTATTACTCTGCATATGTGCTGTCTGCTTTTTTTTATATTCATATATAACGTATAAGTATACATACTATATCTTACCTCAAACTTTTGACACCATAATGAACCTCCATAAATGGATGTTAATATATACTCGAAATGCATATCAACAAGTAAAATATGAGAAAATATACTATCTGATGCAATAACCAAGAAGTAATTCAAATATTCATTTAGGTTTGAGATTCAACAACAACAAGATATAAATCTATACGTAAGTAAAATGATCTTCCCTTTGTACAGGTATATCAACCAAGCAGGTCTGAGATTGAAAACTCATTTAAACCAGTAAACCTACAAACATGAAATTATCACAGACTCACTAGGTGTTAATAAATTTACTACTTACTGAAGATCATTTATCCTTTAGTCATAGCACTTGTAACAGAGATTGCCATAAGCATTTTTAAAAAGGCAAGTTTTTTTTACCCACATCAAACATGCATGCATGTAGCATGTTGCTTCAATCCTACCACAAATACAGGGGTTAAATACAACACAGGCCAGTATCATTGAAGCTTTATTGTTAACATTATTTTTGATTGCTCAAGAATACCAAATTTTTGTTTCAGACTCACAGCACTCATTTTATAATTTGTATGCCTCAAGGATACTAGCCATGATCAGACTCGTTATACAGTATGATATATAAACATTAAAATACAGTTAGCCCCACCTCCGATGACCATTAAACAGGTTGAACACATATAAATAGAGGACATTTAGAACAGCTGGACAATCAGTTTGGAACACAAATAACATTATGCAAAAATACTATGATAGGTAATGTTTTGTCTGTCAGAGATAGTTATCCTCCTGGTCTACATAATATATATATAAATGCAGGTCTTATGCATAAATAAATACAGCAGTACCTGACTAAACAAATCCCCATATTTGATCAGTTCTCTCAGTTTAAAACTTAAAAACAACAAAAAACGTAACCCCCATATCTAGCTGCTACAGAGTACCATTAAGCCACACATTATTCAGATATAGTCCTGATTATCCTCAAGGAAGAGAGCGCCACCACTACCCCTACGACTACAGCACAGACTATTCCAGAGCACTGTTTGGACACTTTCCACACACTGAAGTTCACTTTCTTGGAATCTTTTAGTATTATGTAGGCACTCACCAGTAGAGCGGCCACATCAGCAGCAATGAGCATATAGAAAACATCCTTCCAGGCGTCTTTTCTTTCTCCCTGAGTGATAAGACCTGTGAGTAGAGGACCAAGTGCAGCACCTGAAGAAAATCGAAAAGGAGAAAATCAAAAGTTCAACGTTTTATTCCACTTTTATCAATTCAAATTCCAGCAATAAATTATCATGACTTTACAATTTATACTTCATTCAAAACAAAATACTCGCTCATAGACCCAGCTCTACCTATTATAATAAGACAGTTGTATATGACCATGGTAACTCACGCATAGACCCAGCTCTACCTATTATAACAAGACAGTTATATATGACCATGGTAACTCACCCACAGACCTAGTTTTACCTATTACAACAAGACAGTTGTATATGACCATGGTAACTCACCCATAGACCCAGTTCTACCTATTATAACAAGACAGCTGTATATGACCATGGTAACTCACCCATAGACCCAGTTCTACCTATTATAATAAGACAGTTGTATATGACCATGGTAACTCACGCATAGACCCAGCTCTACCTATTATAACAAGACAGTTATATATGACCATGGTAACTCACCCACAGACCTAGTTCTACCTATTACAACAAGACAGCTGTATATGACCATGGTAACTCACCCATAGACCCAGCTCTACCTATTATAACATGACCATGGTAACTCACCCATAGACCCAGTTCTACCTATTATAACAAGACAGTAGTATATGACCATGGTAACTCACCCATAGACCCAGTTCCGTCTATAATAGCTGTGACAGTGGCCAGAGCTTTGGCGTTCCCCTTCAGACTCTTGTGAGTGCCCAGGTCTGCTGACACTGCAGTTGTTATCAGGGCATAGGGACCATTGACAAAGAAACCACAGGTAAATAACAGGACTGAAAGGAAAGTGAAACTGCGTTTAGTTTATTAATAAGACAAAACTGTTTACAGAACTGACTGATAAATCATTTTCAAGAAATGCCCCCTTTATTCACCCACTTTTAAGAACTTTAAATATTGTATTTTCAGTTGGAACAGAACAGGTTTTTTCTTGATCAGAATAATAATTTTTGTTCAAATATATTTGGGTGTGTAAATTAATAATTTTACAATTTTTCATAAATGGATATACAAAACTATTTAACTTTAAATTTTCTTTTACTTACATATGTTGAAAGCCCAGGTCACTGTCCCATATGCATTGTAAATGAATAACTGAAAAGTAATGCATTTATTTAAGAAACATAAATCTCCTAAATTTATTCTTGCAATAAAAATTTAAGTTTAGGACACATACTATCAAGAACCATGTATTATTATGAATACACATAAATGTGCAAATAAATGCGTAAAAATTGATATATATATATATTCTTTTCATTTTCTCTCATAGTTACAAAATATGTACATGTATTGATCTGGTTTTGTCAACCATTTGCAAAACCTTTATGACATTTCTTTTAATCATTTTCATTTTTATGCTGCAGCACATTACATTGTGTTGTGTTCTGATGTTGTACTTTATTGTATCAATTTTTTATAAACTCACCACTGGTGCTGCAATAATCAACATGACTAGACAAACAGTTGCTCTCCCTCCAGTAATGTCAGATATAACACCTGCTATTATACCACCTGAAATATCAACCATAACTCATATATAACACCTGCTATTATACCACCTGAAATATCAACCATAACTCATATATAACAACTGCTATTAAACCACCTGAAATATCAACCATATGTGTAATCATGCAACATATACTCATACAACACCCACTATATTTGAAATTTGCTTTGCGAAACGGAGCCACAGTCAGTTCCAGCACTGATATTTATTCATGGCACACACACAATTTTAAATATACAAATGTGCTCAAGCATGTGCTTACATGCATGCATGCACACACACTGGAAGTTTCATACAGAAATGTTAAAGTAATTATGTCTGGCACCAGAAGGTACACTTACCAAAAATGCCCCCAAAGTCAAAGACAGTAGACAAATCACCAGATTGTTCAGAAGACAGAGAAGCTAAAAGATAAAATTTAATGTTACTAATAATACAAACAGACCAATCTGTATGTCCTATTTAAACATCTTTTAATCAGAAATGTTTTATACAAGACAAGGCAAATGAGATAATTTTAAATTAAAGGGCTAAGTAAGCAGTCTCCAAGTTATGCCAATGATGTAGACTCCCTACCCTTCACCCCTTAAAATTTACTTCATCCTAAAAAGAAACACGTATTTTAAAATTGAGATGAAAGGCTACTTACTGGTAGCTTTGATGTATTTTGGTAGCCAGAACAGGAAGGTGTAACTGACCAGTTTAGCAAAAAACAAACACAGAGAAAATTCTACTACACCCTGGAAGAGAACAAAAAATTGAACATCATTTAACGAAATATCAGTAGATGCATCAAATGTGCTACTGTTATCAACAACAATTTCAAAATTAACTTTCTTCTGAGGGTTTTAAGCTCAATTAAAATCTATTTTATCCAGCAAGAAATGACAGAGGTAATTTTCTTGTTATAAAACCAGCAGAAATGAAATCTAGACAGAAAAGTAAAGGTTGCAGAAAAAAGGTAAAATTTTGCCAACCTTATAATCATCTGCCATTGATTTGCTAAGGCCTCATTCAGACTTACTTGAATGCTTGCCGCCTAATCCCTAAATAGACACTGAATAGATTCTTCACGGGGATTATGCAGTAAGCTTTCAAGTGGGTCTGCCATATTTGATCCATGGATCTGTTAGTCCATGGATCAACTTTGGTTGTGACCCCCCCTCCCCCCGTCATTAATTTGGTCATCAAGTTCACTAATTTTCAGCTCCAATCCTCAAATGACAATTTTGTTAACAAGGTATGTTACAGGTTCCAGCAAACTTCCTCAGTACTTACAGGTACTTTCAAGGCCCCCAGTAGAGAAATGGGTTCGTGTTCAGCATGCTCCTGAGGCAGATTATCAACATTATTTACGGACTGAGATGAAAGGGGTTCCTCTTCTGCGTTCTGAAACATGGGACAACATTTTTTTTAATTTAATGACAATCCATCACAAATTTTACTGATCTTTTAATCAAAAGGTTTCCTTTAATTTTCAATTATGAACATTGAGTCATGTAATTTTTTACTAAAATACCACTAAGTTCAACTAAGTACATTATGACAGGCATAATCCTATCTTAAATCAAGGCAGAGAAAATGTTCTTTTAAATGTAATGAATTTTTCTATCACAAATTCATGCTGCTTTTAGTCTATAAGCTATTTAGTGGCAAAAAAATTGCCTCTAAAATTCTCCAAAACATCAAGTCAGGCTATTTCAGACCAATGAGTGAAGGAGACAAAGTTCTAAACATTCTCTGGTTAAAGTGACTTAATGGGCACTAGCCACTGAATTGTTGGAGCCCAAAAAGTAATTCCAATTCTAGCTGCTATTAAAAGAAACTGTTATATCAAACAGACATAGGACACAGCTTAGGAAAGTCTTCACTAGAAGATATTCATATTTTTTTACGTTTAATTGAGAATGTTCTGATGTTTCCATTTTCATAAGAATTAAATAGTAATACTTAAAAGTCCAGTATGGAACTTAGGTCTAAGACTTGCTGCCACATCCAACACAATCTTAACTCTTACCATCACACTTAACACAATCATATCAACTCATATATATAAATAGTATAGGGAAAGAATATATACTCATATATGTGCACATGCACATGACATCCACTCTTGCCTTACTCATGCGTACATCAAACACACTTTGCTGACTCGGCAGTCTTAAAGCTCTGATCACAATTTTGTACCATTTTACTATAATTCTTCCACATCTGGCACAATAGTTTGGCTGTACTTGTTTTTTATCATGGCAATGTGTTATCACCTTATCGTCTAGACAAGCTCCAATACGGTATTATAACATTTTAATACATAACAATTGTCACAGATATCACACAGTATATATCAGCCATCACATGGTGCTGGTTGGGCATCGTGTCAACAATATTTAGATTGTGATCAATATGTAAAAGTTAGTGCAAAGCTAGTGTATGCAATATTTTCTTCCAGATTTCTTACAGGACAATAAATGTGAGAGTGGTGTGGTTTCATATATCCAGAGCACCTGTGACACTACATGAAGTGACACTACCATTAATACTTACTGGTATTCTAGAGTATACATATCTATGGACGGGTTCCTGAGTTGATAAGAAAATCATCAAAAATGGATAAGACTTTCAAATCATATATTTGAATTGTACAGAGTATGTACTTTCAAATCATTTGTGTGTGTGTGTGTTAAATATGAATAAGGAGAGTGAATATAAACATACGGTGGTAAGAAGTGAGTTAAAAGCCAACACTGCAGGTGTTAAGGATTAGCTGTATAAAACAGTCTACTATCAAGATCAATTTGCCACACATTATCATGAAGCAAATAAATATAACACTGCCCTTATATAAAAAAGGACACACAAGTCCAGAAAACATGACAGAGAAATGATGTACAAGTTGTTGGAATAAGTCACATTTTTCTCAACAACTGGTTTCAAAAGGTAAATATGTTTTCACATGTTTAGAATACCAAAAAATAAACATCAATATATAAATATATATATGGAAAACAATTTTTCTTCCCCATTTTTTCAAGTGATTTTTCATCTCTGTCATGTTTACATGGTCTGTCAAAAAAGAAAGCAACTAAATAATATGAGCAGACTGCTGAAGTAGAAAAATGCTAACACATGTACAAGAAGTGATAAGGTACGCAGATGACTCTCAGGAAAAAGGGAATCATAATGATTTGAAGTGATGTGAGAACTTCCTGGTTGATGGGTTGCACCAAAGGGAAATAAAATGTTTTTCTTACTTGACTACAGAGCAATAACATGCCCACTTGAATAGGGTAAGGAAGCATGACTAGGTTAGAAAAAAAGAATGGGTTGCTATTTTGTATAAGAGATAAGTTTAAAGGAGTCCAATAACTTCTATTAAACATCCAGGCAGTTTATTTGAGGATAGTTAATTTAATAAGAAAAATCAAGGAAGGAAGAAAGCTTTTGAGTCACTTTATATTACTTTGATTACGAAGTGTAGGTGATAGGTATCTCAAGTTACAAAGAGGGTGAACATTAAAAAAAAAAAACTTGCCATTTACTTATATAGAAAAAATTATGTGTTAACATTTAGTAACTGAGATTTGCCTATGGCAGTTTTAACAGCTGGACTTAAATCCCAAATACACAAATATTGTAATCTTATACAAAGTAACAGCTGGAGGATATTTTTCCAAAAATCCAACACATTATATATACAGAGGCATACCTCTTTCTTGAATCCAATGGACACAAACATATCTTTAATGTCAGGAAACAATGATATAAGTCATTTACAAACCTCTCCCAAAAATGGTGTCTTTTCCATAAACTTGTCATGGTCTGGGTTGTAGGACTCTACAAGATCCCGAGCCCGGTTATGAGTCTCTACTTGCTGTTAGTTGTTAAAAGAAGTACAAACACATATAAGCAAACAGAAGCAGACAGGTTGATAAACACTCAATATACAGACATTCTAGTTAAAATATAATGAAGCTTAAAAAGACCAGAAGCAAGGATTCTGTATGGTTGGCTATCACACTTGGGGTTAGCACTGCTATCAGCAATTTATATATAATATATATATTTATATTTCAAGCACATGCAAAAAATAAAGACACTACTAACACAACAGAAGAATGTGTCAAACTAAAATCAAGCACTTCACAGCCTAAATAGCAAAAGAAAGAAAGAAAAATGCAAGTATGTTAATAAGTAATTTCTAAACATTTAATTGTTTTTCAACAATATCAAGACAAAATGATACATCAAATGATAGATTAAATATCCATAATCATAGTACGAATGTCTCAAATATAAATCATCAAATTCTAATTTATTTTCAGGTTAGATTCTTGACTGAAATTTTAAAACAAGGCAGATGCCTAGATTACTTAAGATCCACATTCACCATTGATAAATCTATGTTCACAGAATGTAAAATTGATTAATTTTTCTTTTTTAAAATAAATAAAAAAAATAAACAACTATTAACTAAGTTACCTTGCCCTGATGGTCTGGTAAACTACATTCAACATCTTCTGGGTCTGAAAAAAAAGGGAGAAAAGAAACAAGTGCTTCTTTGAACTGCTTATCTCATTAATGTGCTGGGAAATTCTTTCTTTGGGGAGGTGGGGGGGGGAACAATTTTAAATTCTGACTTTGATGACAACCAGTGGGAAACTAAATCCTTTACAAAGTGCTAAAAGTATTGCACTGTGTATTTAAGTTCAGTCATAGACTAAATACTGTTAAACTTGTTAACTCACTTTAAATAGATGACTAATTATCTTCATAAACAGAAGTGCAGTGCACATTCAAAAAACTTTTTAGCCTACTGGCCCTTTCAGCCACCAGGCATAATACAGCAAATTAGGACTTCCAAATGCACTCACCAGGCACAAGGAAGAAGAACACCACTATCCCAAGTCCTCCTATTATCAAGCCAGGGACCACAAAGGACCACCCCCAGGCGTAGTTGACAAAGGCAGCAGCTATGACAGAACCAAGGATGTTCCCTACACTGGTATGAGAGTTCCATACCCCCATGATAAAACCTCGCCTGGAACACAGAACTTACTAGTAGAATGGGTTGTTTATAGTTGAAAAATCATAAGATGAATTGAAATACATTGCCTTTTTAACTTATAGTTTAATAGGATGCAAATGTGCATTTTATTAAAAACTGATATCATTTACAAACAGAAAAATACAAGACAAAACAATTTATTGAAATTGGATTCCGATGTCCTTTGTAGCAACAGTACTGTTAAATAAATGTTGTATGATCTATTTTTTTCTGTTTCAATCTTCACTCTTGCTGCCACATCCAATACAATGATTATCCCTAATTTAGTTGCCACATCTAACACAATCCTCTCACTTGCTGTCACATCCAACACAATAATCTCCACTCTCATAGTCACATCTAACACAATCCCTCCTCTTGTTGACACATCCAACACATTCCTTACACTTGCTATCACATCCAACACAATCTCCACTCTCGTCATCACATCTAACGCAATCACATCAACTCACTTTCCCTTGCCAAACCAATTCCCTACTGTGGCCACCACACTAGGCCAGCCTGTTGATTGGAACAACCCAGTGATGATCTGAAATACAAACACGAGTTTATCACACTCTGCATACCACTGATAATATATTATGATAATCAAAACCAGACAGATAATATCCAGTCAATCTAACTGTTACATAATCCAGCTTATGCAATCATAGTCATATGCAAAAATGTGACTTACATTAAACATCTAAACTAGAAAATCAATTGATTATTTCTATTGCTATAATTCATTTTTCTTGATATTTGAACACTATTCCCAGCAAAATGCAAAAAGAAATTCAATTTACAACACTTATGTACAGCAAATCTCTTCTATTGAAGAAATTGAAAGGATGTTAAAAATATACTATAAACATCAAAAAACTTTAAAAAGCCTAAGTGTCCTACCTGTACAGTTAAATAAAATATTAATAAATGGATATTCCAAAAATATCCCATGCCAAACAGAGCAGTAAGAATTCCTGTCAAAATCATTCCCACGCTGAGGAAATATCTTAAATTCATCCTTTCTGCAACATGGCCGCTGAAAGAAAGAAGATACTGATTTAATTAGAAAACTCCATAAGCCTTCAATAATTTATCAAATAAATACATTTGTACATAACTGCAACAGGCATTTTAAAATGAGTTCTTTAAAATATGAGAATAACTTCATAGCTAGCACTAATGCATACACTCTTGCCTACATCAGAGTATTATGTAAAATCTGACATACATAACATATAATTTAACAGCTTTTCGTTCTAAAATAAGTACACCCTTAATAATAAATGGAAAAAAAAAACAGCTAGATATATAAAGTAAAATCATAAAGACCAGCCAATTTCACAAGGCTGATATTTTGGGAGGAGACTACAAAAAAGGTTCTTACTGAAGCCACATGACAGAACTTTAAACCCATGTTTTGATGCGACTCATGTGATTGTGAACTCTGCACTGATCTGTGACCAGTCCCAAAACAACAGTGTTCAATGAACACAAGCACAATATAAAACCCCATTCAAATGGTTCTTGAGCACTTTCATAAAGAAACATCCAACCTTCAAATAGATCCAAGTCAATATCAGGGCATCAATTTCATTCTGTTCAATGATTCATATAAGCCTGTTTATTTCATATGAAAGACAAGAAATGGGATATGTCATTTCCAACCAATATAAATGTGCTGAATCAGCATAAGATGACACAGACCATGTGATTGAAATGACAATAGTTCCTAACCAATACCTGTACCTACCTAATAAACATGCCCACAGCATAGGCAAATAAGAAAGCATAGTCCAAGCTACCAAGCAGCTCCTCTGCATTCTCTTTATCTAAAAACAAAGAAACTTTCGTACAAATTTTTCATAAAGGCTTAGAAAAACAATAAAAAGAATAAAACATGAACCATATGAAATCATAAACATTTAATGCACCTCCCTAAAGCCTTTTTGGATGTGACAATGTATATATCCATACATGGCCAATCAGTAGGATAATGGGCCATATACATAAACTATACCAAACTATTGCTTTAAGCAGATTGCCCTATTAATACTGGCCAGATGCCAAACATGGTTAACATAGAACCAGTCTGGGTAAATTTTGTGAGTTTGTTCAAAATCTTTTTATATTACTCTAACATTATTATTTATGGCCGCTATTGCTGATTTTGACCAGAAGTCTAAAGAATTTATTGGGCACGGACTGTTTAAACCTGCAGGCTATGTGCATTTGTCATTTTGAACAATGGAAATATCACAATTCACCTTAACAATATTAAATATTTTGGTCCTGTAGAGACAGTTCTACTTACCAAAAGGCTTCCAATCACAGGCTGTATCATTGAGTGAAAAGTTATCTGCTTTACTGGAACAATTCCCATGGAGGGCATTCTATAACAGGAAAAAAAGTAGCAATAATAAAACTTCCTTGACGTTATAATCTTTTCTCCTCTTAGTTCAAGGATACAACTTCTATATAAAATATAGACTAGGACTAACAATGACAATAGCAAACACTCAACAACAAGGACAATGAAGATGAAGAAGCACAAAGCTATGAAATAGCATACAAGTACTGGACATGCTATCACAGACATATAATAGTTAAAAATGCCCAAGAGACTCATAGGAATAATGTAAATGCAAATATTAAATGTGAAAAGGAATCTTCATGGATACTAACATACTTTTTTTGCACTTTTTGTCTTTTTTAAATCTGAAACACAGTAATTTAAATCATATTTGCTTCAAATACGGTATACTGAAGCACGTTTGGCAGGCTTATTTTTCAATATATAAAGCCTTTTAGTCACATGCACGCATGCAATTAATAAATAAATAAATAACTTTTAACAAAAAACTTACCTTAACTACGCTGAGAGGCTTTTTGGCAAGATGATATGATGTGTATACAAGAAATGTCAATATTAAAATATACGCTCGGTAGCTGAAAAAAAAAAAGACAAAAAGGGGCATAAAAAAACTAAAAAGAATAATAAATACAACAACAATTAAATAATTTGATTTCTAGTCAAATCAAATATTCCTGAAAGGCCAGCAAACATATTAAAAATCTATATAAAAATAATGACTTCAACTAATGCTAATGTAGGATATTATACATGCCCTACTTTTTGGGAACACTGCAGCCTACAGTTATGAATAATGAATAAAAAGCTGGTAGCCTTTGGCAGGTATCTGTTTAATACATGTGACTAAAATCCACATCCTTTGCAATACCTGGAGGCATACTTACTAATGGAATAAAGCTTTTAAGGAAGCCATGTGTAAGATAAGTGTATACACTTAACATGTTTTACCCTCTTTAAATAAGGTTTATTATCATTTTTATTATTATTGTTATTATCATTAATTTAAACCTGTTCAGTCAAATAAAATGAAAAGCTTAAGTCGTGATGTTTGCATTGTGTACTCATTTCATGTCTCATCAACATTTCAAGTTATTTTTTTCAGTCACTTCAGTTACAATGCAGTATCCTTATATTGAATGAAGATATAATTACTAAATTGAAAATATAAACACCTAAACTATGCCAAACGTAGGTTGTGGTTTAATTAAGCGTACAAACGAAACACACAAAAATTGACAAAATAGATTCATGTGTGTACGGTAATATACAATGAGTCATGTAATCAGTTAATGTCTTGGCGCAGGTTATAACCTAATTCCGCGGTCGGTGACTGTGACTGTCAGTGTGACACTGACACTAGCGTTGGGATCATAGAAGTTGATTTCCACTTAAATCTGTGTGTAGTGTCGCGAATCTAAGATTTATCTGAACGTGATTAGTTTCAGCAATATCTTGACATTCTTTGGTGTTTCTTACCCCTTGTTTCTATCACAGCAACAAGATCCACCAGCTTGTTGAAGACAGCGGATACCTGGAGCTACCGAGTTGGACATTTTGGCAGGTCACATGATCTGTTAAGCAAGCCGCGATATCACGAGCGAGCTAATCCTAAGAACTATTTGCAGTCTCACATAAACCACCTCTACACCTTTGGCCTGTTTTCTGTTTTGGATTATTATTTTAATTTTAGTCTTAAATAAATTAAGTATCAAAATGCTTTTTGTTTTCTTTGAAGCACTGGAATATTTACACTTTCTAAACGAGAACTCGTTTTCAATAGTGCATTTTATTTAAATACCGTACTGATAACGAGACTCCAATTTGGTAGGCGTTTATGTGAAAAAATAAAAACTTGAATGTAAAAGGGATTAAGTTAAAATATCAAATAATTTTAAATTAATCTTAATAAAATAAGATAATTCAGGAATACTAATAGTTTCATTAATGTTTTCATATTGACAATCTGCTAGTTCCAATGTTGCGGTCCTCCTATACTTCCGTTTTGCTAAAAATAGTTCCAATTTGGACTATTTACCGGATCTTACTTCTGATATTAATGGGCATTTTAAATAAATGCTCATCATTGAGTTATTTTCATCTGTTTGGTAAAGAAATGCACATTCGTTATGTATTTTTAACAATATGCTAGCCATCTTTATTCTGGACGAAACAATAAATGCTTTTATTCATTTATTAGATTTATTTTCCATCGGAAGTAACAACCACATTGCAGCTGTTGCTCGGCTTTGTCTCAAAGTGGTAAATTCATTAAAAATTTCCAAATTTCATTGTAGATATTCAACAACATTAGCTGATTGATGGTAATAATATCCCAAATTGACACAGATTTGACAAGCGGACCCTCTAAAGCGTGCACTAATACCACCTTGTCCCATCTGAGGAAAACGGAAGCACGGGCGGTGAACGGGAGCGTATTTACAATCAGTGGGAGTAAAGCAAGTTATTCCAAATTTGATGTGTCACTGCGAGATCTATCTTACAACAAATGACCATAAACACACGCCGGTAGTAGCTTCAAAATGTCCGTAAATGACAAGTAAGTTGGCCTTTCTTTACATTTTAACGGACTGGTGGGTGTCTTAATAAAGTTCAAGAGTGGTGAATGTAGTTAAAAAATTGGGTCAGATCCAATCCATTCATTCCAGTTCACACAGAATGTGATGAAAGTGATAACAATTTGTCACCAGTAGCTGTGGGTGAAGACAGATGCTTTCCTGCCCAAGTGCTCTCTCCTAATCTCTTACACTGATTCTTCAGTGATTGACCCTGTACAAGTGCCCTGGGAAAAGATAAACAGGACAGTGGACACTAGAACAGTGGCTGCTGTAACTAGATGTGGTAGCCCAATATCAATAAGGCATGCTCGGCTATCACCTTGATTGGTTAGAAAATGAAAATGTCCTCATATCGCTACATGATTTAAAATAGGGTTGCATAATCTTTGAAACCACATAAAATGATCGTGCCATACTAGTCTACTATAAAGCAGTAAACCCTATCAGAATCAGTTAAAGTATTCAAAACGAATGCCGTTTAGTCCCCATAGGCTCCCATAGAGCCAATAAAATAGGGAGAGCTTGTGAAACAAGGATACCCTCGAGGCACATTAAAAATTCAAAATAAAATAGAGACAGCCTTCAAATCACGCTCAAACTCACTCCATTTACATCAAATGTCCTCATTTACATTGTCCATTCATTGTTGGTAAATCCCACACGGACATTGGTTGAAATCCATGATAAACGCCTAAGAAGACCTCCTCGTTCAGACTGCTAAAAGCGTTAGGTGCACTTGTACCCTTAGCCTAGAAATGATTTATGACATGTTACTTCTACTTGGTCATGTCTAGATAAATGTACAACAATTTTTTTTAATTTTGGCTTTTAAAAACCTTTTTTACTCTCTTTTAGCTGATTTGCATGTATAATTGGAAGGCATGGTAAAAACAAACTTGCCTGTTTTGATTATGAGCGCAAACTTAAATTATGGGCATAGACTATTACATTACAATTGATTTGTATTAAAGTCTAGGAAGATCTCTATAAGATTGCACAATTTTTGTTATAACATGAGTATTGTGTGTTAATTTACTGTCATTAGTTCTAGTAAGCCTTTAAGTCATGTTTATCAGAGCACGATATAGCTGTCATTGTGCAGAGTAAATTGATTCCATTAAAACCCTAGAGACTGTTAAATCTGCAATTATCAATATATAACAGTGTTTGATCTTCTAAAGCCAGTAATGCACCAACAATAGTTGTACATTTCCCATGTTGTACTCATTAGATGCTGTTAGCTTCAAGTGAGCCCCAAACCAACAAACTGTGTGAATAGTGTAAAAATATTTCCAATCCGTCTTGGATTGCTTGTGTTGATCATTGAAAATAATTGAGGTATAACAAATATATGTATCACACTGTCTTTATTTTTCTGGCAATGACATACAAAAGAAGTTAAAGTTTTTTTGCTTCACTTCAAAACTCTACCTTTTTTTCTAAACTAAAACACATTGGATAAATTTATCTATTATTTGCATAGCTGTTTTCTTTATTATGTGTAAAGTGTATATTTATATAACATATATTCACTAATGTTCCAAGACTCCTAAAATTTATTTCATGAATGACTAAAGGACATACTAGTAGAAAGACTGTGGTATGGATTTCTGCAAATTTGTCTCTTAATTACTGTCAGAGCACGACATACTACCTATCCATCACAGCAGTGTTTGATGATAATGATTTATAATAAATTATAGTTATCTTTTCCTGTGTGAGATATGAGCACTCAGTTTATGTACAAATGCCACTTCAAGCTTGATTATTTTATATGAACCTCCATAAGAAAGTAAAGTTGTGGTTTTACATATTGGGACCAAAGGCAAGCTAGGTGTGTGTGTGTGTGTGTGTGTGTGAATGTGTGTGTGTGTGTGTGTATGTACGTGTGTGTGTGTGTGCATGTAAGTGTGTGAACATGTGTATGTTATTTTTAGGTTGATAATAGCATAAAATAATCTTTAACTTGTAATATGGCTCCACCCTGTTCAAGTAATAACACTTGATTTTATTGTGTTGTTATCAGGGTTTTTTATCGTGCAGTATAGGCTGTGTTATTTTCATTTGAAGTGAATTGTAATAATCAGTGATGTAGTGCTCAGCTATTCCTTGTCAGTTAATTTACTAGTAGTAGGTTTGGCACACCTGATAAGGTGTGTTTTTTATTGACAACTGAGAAGTCACGGAAGTGGAATATTTCAACAGCAAAATTCTGAAGTTGCTAGAATAAAGAGAAGTACATTATTAACCTTATTTCAGTTTAATTTAGTTATATCAACCATTTCCTTTGTGATGAAATAAAAACTGATAACAAACTTTGGAAAGTGATGTGCAATAGGAAGGCCTGTATATAGACTGAAAAATAACAATAGTTCACCATTGCATATCTGCGACCTCACTGTTGGACATGTACAAGCTTTAAAGAACTTAAGCTCAGTTATTACCACACCATGTTCTACATACATAATGAATAAGAAAGCATTGATGTTGCAATATTAAGATAAAATATGAATACTATATTAAGAAAACCTCTATGGAGAAGTGGCCCATATTGTGCCCTCACTGTCACAAAAAGAGTGCACAGTCCAGTTCAGATGTGCACATACCCTTTCAGTGTATAGATGCATGTGTAGGTGTGCATGGATGCATGCACTAGTTAGAGATGGGAGTTTTAAAGGCTATTAGTTCTTGTACACATGTTGCTGTGAATTAGCCCCAAGTTATGCAATATATTCATATATATTGTATTAACTGTTTACTTAGACTTATTTGTACTTCACCTAATGTTTATTTGGGGGCCTTAGAACATGCACGTTTGCTCTCCCAGCAATGTGATATTGATGACAGGTTAACTTATGCAAGGGCATGACTTTTCAACATAAGAAGATTTTTTTGCCAGCACTCTAAGTGTTCATTATTTTTCTAACATAAAATTAAAATACAAATGAGTTCATCACAGTGGGAAGTTACTAGCCTCTAGTTATAACTCTAGAGTAGCTGTAACACTGCAAGAACAGCTATGCATAAACAACTCTTGGTGGGAGAAAAAAAAAGCCTTGGGTGCAGCTCAACTGTATTTTATGATAGGAGAGATTGCATTACCTTTGCACTGCCCCCCAAAAATTATCTACATATTTAGGTCAAATGTCTGTATGTTCAATCCCTAGCCAAGTGAAATCTGATAATTTTCTAAATTAAACAAATCACAGGAGGTAAATATACTATTCTGCACTTTATCACTCATTTTGTTGATTTTATGTTTTTTCTATTATTGTGACCTAGATAGATAACTCGCTTTTTTACAGCTACTCCAGACTGTTTCGATGATTTATATATACTAGTAATCTGTTTGTGTATGTACATCAGCAACAAAGGTTATAGTAAAAATTTTTCAGTGTATTCCATTCTTTCTTTAAAGAAAATAAATATTACATTATATGATAACTTGAAAAATAGTAAGAATTTTGGTTTTGATTGTTCCTTTGTATTATATATATATATATGGTAGACCAGATATTTGGCCTGAGTTTATATCCATTTTTTTGACAAAGATTCTTCTTTGAATTTGGTCCCTGGTCTTCTCAAGAGTCATGAGAAATACCCTAAAAATACCCCAAAAAGTGGTATACTGTTAAGAAGTTTCAGAATTAAGATTTGTGCCATATGGCAGTGTTATGTCGGCTCACATGGCCCCTCCTTCCCCCTATCACCAAACTCCCTCCGGACATGGCTAACCCACCATCTTCTTCCTATTACTTTTCAATATAGTTTTCCCTGTAAGCAAACATTGCACCTTCTTGCTGTTAGTCAATACACTGATGTGGTGCCTGCAGACCTCCACATTCAAATCAATAAGCAATAACTGGGGCTAAGTGGCAACAATGGAGGAAATAAACTGAAATTAATCACACTGGGGGAATGGCTGTAATGGGGCTTACATTGCAGCATTTAATGCAACTGGTGGCATTAGCTGTATTATTGGGCATATTAGCTTAACTCCAGTAAATACAGTATCAAAATTGTGCATTATTTTCGCATTCAATTTTTTTGTGAATGATGGTAAAGAACAAGATGCGCGGAATAATGCCCTACTTTGCTGCTGTATTCATCCAGGCATATGTAATTTGCTTGCATTACTTCAGTTCCTTTGCATGTTCTTGTATA